GTGGCGCGCGTCAACAGCAGCTCATTCACCTTGACGACGCCCAGGAGCTTGTCTACGAGCGCAGAGCGAGCGTCGCCCACGTTGTGGCTCTGCAACGTCAGCAGCTCCACGAGCTGGCGGATGCGGCCTTGCTCCTTGGCGGGATGACCTGCATTCTGCTCCCGCTCTACCGCCACGTCGTCGACGTCATGGAAGAGCTGGCAGCTGTCGCTATCGTCCTGACTTTCGTAGAACTCGTCGTCCGATGGATCCGAGGGCGGAGGGAACAATTCCGGTGTCGGTGTAGGCTGCTCTGCTAGTACAAGCAGTCCCTCCGAGTCCAGATCAGCCTCCCGCACGCGCGCTCGCGGCCCCGAGAACGTGTCGAAGCTGATCATGCAGCAGACGAGTTTTTACGAAGAGAACCCGACTTGACAACTGTATCAGTTTGAAGAGGGCATCGTTTATGATTGGATGAAACTAAATTGAATGGTGTCCGACGTTTCGTGGACGTTTTGGAGGACACATCCTAGACGAGGTCAATGATATTACACTTGACATGGTTACTGTACTTTGAGTACCTTATCTTCGGTCTTGTAGCGACGCCGACCTGCAAGAATAAATGCAGCGGGAACGAAGGCGAAACGCTTGCTGAACGGGGAGTTTATGCTCTAGTCCTTATGAGTCGGACGTCGGGCGTAGCAAAGTCACGACTGTTTCCTCCTGATAGAGTTCTCTGCAGTCGGAGGGCCTTGCTGGTTTGCATGTGTTCCTAGGTAAATACTACAATCGAAAATTGATAATTGCGACGTCACCACTGGACACGCAGGCGGCGATCTGGTCGCCCTCCTTGTTCCAGTTGACTTCGTAGATATCGCCATTTGCTTGATACGTCTTCACCAAGGATCCGTCCTACGAAAAAGCACAACGTTCGCCCGTTAGTCTCGACCTTACAACAAGCCTGTCAAAAGTCTGGTCAGGCGCACCTTTAATGACCAAACGTTGACCATTCCCCCTACTGTTCCACTAGCCAAGTACTCCCCATCCGGGCTAAACGCAACACCATATACAGGATACCTGAACCAAACAAGCAACAGTATTAGTACTAGTAAAAAAAAATCCAGTTGCACATCGAACGTCACGTACTGGTGATCAAATGTTCTCCTACAGGAACCTGATTCGGCGTCCCAGAGCTTCACGGTGCCGTCGAAAGATGCACTGGCTAATGTCAGCGGCTGATCCGGGAGCGATGTGCCTGGCCCAGTGCAGCTCCAACGAAACGTATACACTTCCTTCTTGTGTTCTTGAAGAGTGTATACCAACGCAGCTGAAGTTACCGCATCCAAGTCCGTGTCCTTCTTGTTATTCTCGTTGCTATCGACCTCCATAGCCTCTCCATCTGCTGGATTCTTCTTCTCAATAGCCTTAGACGGATCCCATATTTTTACCGTGTAGTCATCTGAACACGACGCCAAATATCGTCCAGCAGGATCCCACTTGACCGAGTTAATCGCGTCTTTGTGTCCTCGAAGCACGACATCAGCCTTAGTTTCTCCCACTCGAGCAACACAAATGCTCATATCTGACGAGCACGTAGCAAACGTAGCGTCATCTTTCCACGATGCGTCCAGGATCGGATCATCGTGCAATTTCAGCTGCTGCTTCTTCGTTTCAGTCGCTGCGTCCCATACAACCACAGTCTTATCAAAACTAGCGCTGAGTAGGAACAAGCTGCTCTTGCTCCACCGCGTAGCAAACACTGGGCCGTTGTGGTACTGGAAAATGTGCTTCATCTCGCCTTCCGCGTCCCAGATTCGTGTCTTGCCATTATAAGTTCCTGACGCCAGCAAAGATCCATTATGCTGCAATAATTCCATCACAAAACGCATCCATCCTCGTCAGTTTTCCATCTGCTTGTCCTCAGAAAAGAAAACAGGTGGAACAAAGCACGTACATTCCACTCGAGAGTCGTGACATCCTTGTGTGGTCCTGTGCCATGGCTCAACACTTTGGGTTTAATAGCTTTGCTATCCTCCACTTTGTTCGGCAGCGACCAGACCCGCGCCGTAGAGTCGCTCGATCCAGAGACCAAGACGTTCTTTACGGGACTCCACGAGCATGCATACACTTCCTTCTCGTGTCCGCTCAGCAGCACTAGCGCCTCTTTGTCTAGTTTATCTACGCCGTTCATTTCTGCAACAATCCACAATATTCCAGTTAATACAAAAAATCTATATACCAATACGTAGACTATTCCCCTACCTTTCGTACCGTCC